CTGCTGTATGTGATGAGCTGACGTGGGATCAGGGTTTACATTACCGTCGGTAACCGTATGGTTATCGGTCTTACCACGAAGGTTCTAATAAGAACTGGGACTAAAGATTGTTTTTAAGTCCCGGTTAAAAAAATTTTGATCTTTAATCCCGAAACTAAAGATCATCCCCTGTCAGAGGGTCGAGGATCTTTAGTCCCGGTTGGTAACACCAATCGGAACTAAAGATTATCACTTTAGTTCCGATTGGTACTACCAACCGGGACTAAAAATCTATCTTTAGTCCCAATTGGAGTTACCAACCGGGAGTAAATATTGCTCTCCTATCTCTGATTGGTTAAGTCCTAAACGAGACTTTCCTCCTCATCGAGATATTTAGATAAGATTAGATCGGTCTCATCTCCTCTCCTTCTAACCCCTCAGATCCCCTTCTTCCTCCTCCCATCCCATCTCCTTCTTCCCCTCTTCCCCTTCCTCCTCCTCCTCCTCCCCTCCCATCCGGCGGTCGGCGACGGTGGCCAACGGGGCCGCAGGCGGCTGCCGTGGCGAGTGGCGGCAGGCGGCAGCGTCCTCTTTTTTTTTGGATAATTTGTGATTCATGTACTTAGATGTATAACTTGCATGGATCTGAGATGTATTTGATTTAATTGTGTGCATTTTTTTAGGATTTTTGATGTATTTGATTTGTGTATATAAGTAACTTAGGATTTGTGATATGAATGATTTGGGATGTTACTTTGTTTGATTTGGGATTTGGGGTTTGATTTGAGGATATGCATCCCACTCGATTTGGGAGAAAATGCAGGGATTAACTCTGTCAATTAGCAAAGAAACAATGAAAAAAAAAAGAAAAGGGGACCAATCGGGACTGCCCTACCCTCTCTTTAGTCTCGGTTGGTATTCAACTTTACTCCCAGTTATTTCACCTGGGACTAAAGATGAGGTATCTTTAGTCCCGGATTGCTAGTCCTGGTTGGAAAAGCGGGATTATAGGGGGTTTCTAACCGGGAGTAAAAATGTTTTCCCAGTGTGCGGTGGTTTGGGAAACCCTGCTTGGGATATGTGCATGGAGGATACGATGGCTCTGCATGCTGCTGAGGTGTCGATGGGCCGTGATGCCTGCATATGGATGGGGAATAAACATATTTTTGGGCAGTTGTTTTGTTTGGATGGAATCGTATCCGGTGAGTTAATTTGTTGGGAGTTATCGGGTGCATACATTTGTAACGGTCTTTAGGTGACCTTATAAATATAAATATTAGGGTGTTATAGGTCAGTTTTAGAATCCAAACAAATTGTCAATCTACTATTTTATGTTCTTTATTTTCTATTTGCTTTTTATAGCTGAGTTCTAACAACTGTATTTGGTTAATCTTTACCCTTTTGCGCTGAAAAACGGTTGTACTTTTCCATAACAATTTGCTAATTTTCTTGGAAACTAGTCGTTCGTCGTTACGTAAATACGATATTTATCTTCTTGGTAAATTTGCTCATAAATTAGTTGTGTGATTCTACGAAAGTGAATTAATCTCGAAATCGGTTTAATTGGTCGGTTTTGATTTATCGATTTTGACGACTCTGTTGATTACATTGTAAATCATTAGGTGATTTCACGAAAAAGTGTCAACAGTGTGGGTTAGGTTTATGATACTATATATGCCCATCTATCCGTAGGATCAATCATGTCATACAACCTAACCTATCCCAACTGTTTATTATCTTCGTGATAAGTTCTAAACAAAGTTAGTACTAGTTTAGGTGATACTAGCACACCCTCTAGAATATATTTATGCACATATATGATTGGGAATGTGTGTTTCAGAAAAAAAAATGGTTGGGGATGAAAAAAAATACCTGAGAAACTTTTTTTTTATCTCAAGCTTTTATGTTCTTTCATTCGCTCGAAGTTACTTACATTATCTGAAATATTTTCTGTGATCTGTGACTGGAAATTAAACTTTTTTTGGAGCTTTTGTATATTAGTTGGCAACTTGACATGCATGCTAGGTGATATCAGCATCTTTTATTTTTGTGGGAAAAGGAAAGGATGTAATCGTTTTCTTAGCGAGAAAAAAAAAAGGGTCGGATTGTCCACAATAAGGAAACAAAAGGACAAACAATAGGATCGGCATTCCACACACTTTGAGAGCCGAATGTTCGGATCATCGAAACAGTGAAGTTGAATTAAAGGAACAAATGAAAATGATATTATGCGAAACACGAAATAAAAATACTTTATATATATGGTAAAATGAGTGGGCCATGCATGTACTTATTTATGCTATATTCATGCATGCATGCACTCAAAGCTTAAGTAAGGGCTTGTTTAGTTGGAAAAAAAAATTTTACCACTGCATGTCACATCGGATATACAGACACATATTTTAAAGTATTAAATGTAGTCTAATAACAAAATAAATTATAGATTTCGCCAATAAACTGTGAGACAAATTTATTAAGCCTAATTAATCTGTCATTAGCAAATGTTTACTGTAGCATTGTCCAATCATGACGCAATTAAGTTTAAAAGATTCGCCTTGCAATTTTCTAGTGAACTGTGTAATTGGTTTTTTCTATATTTAATACTCCATGCATGTGTCCAAACATTCGATGTGACAGCGCGAAAAATTTTATTTGGGAACTAAACTGGCCCTAAGTGAAAAATCTTCGAAAACACGTTGGTAATTTGACAGTACTGCATGTGTCTTATACTACTTTAGGCAGATTCCCTAGAAAAGGAATCTTCACACAAATCACACTCCAGCTTAGCATATGCAAGGGAGAAATCATACACAATGAAGTTGAATTAAAAAGACTTGGATCCAAAACGTTTTGTGTGTTTGTAAAACCAGAGAGAATTCAAGTATTTTTCACCCCTAATTTGTACAGTTTATATGAACAGTCAGGAATAAGTGAGATTAAATGTACCAGTGGTAGGTGAGCAAGCGAGTGTTGTGAAGTGTGGTTGGTAAAAAAATTGACGTGTAGAGATATGGCGACGGCACGCCGAGCCAAATTGTTGGGTGTTCCAATCATTTTCTCCACTAGCTGTGTCAAATGTGGGCCCTTGATTGGGTGAGAGATACTCCATCTTATTTTAAATAGTCATGAATTTTTTTCTAACTTTCGACCATCCGTTTTATTTAAATAATTTATAAAAAATTTAAAAAATAGTCACACATAAAGTATTATTCGTGTTTTATCATTCTAATAACAATAAAAATATTAATCATAATTATTTTTAACTAAGACGGACGATCAAACGTTGGATATAAAGAGTGTAAAACTGTGGTCTTTCTGGAACGGAGGTAGTATCATTTTTTGAAAAAAAATAAATATCACAAAAAAATATACACACACGAGTAGATCACCAAACCAACAACAATGCATGGGCAATGTAGAAAAATGCATGGGCGATAGGTCCCACATATCTCTACCTTATGAACATTTTGTCCGGTATTTTTTTCTCACGGTTTTTTTAATTTAAAATTGGTGTGCACTCTAAAGATTCTCTCAACATATGGTAAATTATTAATTCCTAATTGATTGTGTAGCATATGCAATTGTGATTGTGTTAGTGTTGGACTGTTGGAGTACATTGTTTGACTAAAATTCTCCAAAAAATTATTTATCCGGCATGAGGTAATCAAATAATTGATAATGTATTAAAATTTGGACTGAATAGATTCCGACTAGTTAGTTAAGCCATCGTTATTCATATACCACACCGCTGGTTTTGTTGGTGGGAGAAACAACCAAAATTAAATTTAGTGAAGATAGGTAGGAATATGACAGCACATAACGTTCACTTTGAACTCAAGCATGGACATAATTAGTTGGAGAAGAAAATGATGGTGCCCACTTACCTAGCTAGCTATACAGGATATTTCAACAAATTAAAGGGTTAGCAATTTTCTGTCAAGTACACTTTTGTTCCAAAAGGGACAGTAATCGTCAGTTAACCAGTTTAACTCTCACCCATATATGATCAATCATGTTGAATATTTTAGGCAGACATAAAATAGGAGAAATGTCAATTTATCCGGCTTAATTAATTGCTAAATTACTAATTAAGTTCTATGTGGACCATATATATGGATTTCGTAGAAAACAATTCAGTCCATAATATAATGAAGAATATTAGTATCAGATTTTAATATCTATCAAGTTACCCATCACAGCAGTACAGTAACTCCTAATTAATGTTCTTGCTTCATCACACTCATATATATACTTCCTCCGTTTCACAACGTAAGTTATTCTAGCATTTTCCATATTTATATTAATGCTAATGAATCTAGACATATATATCTATTTAAATTTATTAGCATCAATATGAATGTGGAAAATGCTAGAATGACTTACATTGTGAAACGGATGGAGTACCACTCAAATTACAGGGCTCCAAGCTACTTAATTAGTGAGCAACTAATTGGTCTACTCGATCTCTCCATCTTTTGGCCACCAACTCCACACACTCCAAAATAAGCTTTCACTTTCATCCCAGCACAATATGCATGCAAGGAATAGTTGTCGAGTTTGACCGTTAACACTAAAAACAAACCCCATGCACGACTTAACATACCTAATCGTTGAAAATAATTAGCCGTAAATATTACATATATATATATACATCAGATGATGAATTGTAGTAATTAAATTAATTAAACCTACTAAACCCATACAACGTCGTCACGACTACTCCTGATGGTACATCTAAGCTACTCCATTTCCCATCGGACGAATACAACCACGCACCAGACAAAGTACGCAAACACAAAATTATCAATGATAATCATGATGATGGAGCATCATATCTACTACTAGCACATACACTATCTTTCTTCCTTCCTTCTCCTAATTAATTCCCCTAAAAAATTGAAGGTGAAGAGAAGAAGAAGGAAAAGAAAGCAAAACAAATTAATTAAAGAAAAGAAAAGAAAAGAAAAAGGTGAGTTGGTGGTGTCATATATAGTGTGTGGTGGTTGGTGAAGGCTTGAGCTCCCATATAAACCCCCTCCTCCCTCTCCATTGCCTTCACCTCACTCGCCGCCGGTGATCAGCCTCCTCCTCCTTCTTCTCCATCGCCGGCGAGAGAGAGAGAGAGTTAGCTAGCTAGGATGGGTTCTACAGCCGCCGACATGGCCGCGGCGGCCGACGAGGAGGCGTGCATGTACGCGCTGCAGCTGGCGTCGTCGTCGATCCTGCCGATGACGCTCAAGAACGCCATCGAGCTGGGCCTGCTCGAGACGCTGCAGTCCGCCGCCGTCGCCGGAGGAGGGGGGAAGGCGGCGCTGCTGACGCCGGCGGAGGTGGCCGACAAGCTGCCGTCCAAGGCGAACCCGGCGGCGGCCGACATGGTGGACCGCATGCTCCGCCTGCTCGCCTCCTACAACGTCGTCAGGTGCGAGATGGAGGAGGGCGCCGACGGCAAGCTCTCCCGCCGCTACGCCGCCGCGCCGGTGTGCAAGTGGCTGACGCCCAACGAGGACGGCGTCTCCATGGCCGCCCTCGCCCTCATGAACCAGGACAAGGTCCTCATGGAGAGCTGGTCAGTTCATTTTGTCTCCTCCTCTCTCGCTGACATGTGGGCCCACCCCTACATAAACCTTCACAAATAAAACCCACTATGCCAACTTCCATTTTCAAAAGGAGTTAGGTGCAACAAGCATATCAAACCTTGAATTTCATTGTTTTTTTTAGTTTCCTTTTAGAACCTTGAGACAACATGTTTTTTAGATGATAGGATAAAGGAATATCCCCGGCCTCTGAATCATATGATGCACGTAATCGATTTTCTAAAGAAACTAATTCCATGAAGAAAAATCGTTCTTACACGTATAAATAGCACCGACAGGCACGTAATCGATTTTCAATACATATGCTAGAAAAGAAATTAATTCTCTGACGAAAATTTGTTCTTACGTACGCATAGCACCGACTGATAGCCGCTACGGCATAATTATGTGCACTTAGAAAAGGGTGTTGGTGACCCTCCTCTAGTAGTGGGGGGTGATGCTAGCAAGCACTAAACTTGGTCACCAAACAGCTGAGGAATATGAAAAGAGGGGGGAAAAGGTTGAGCTCATCTTCCTTCTAGAGAAGCAACCACAGCCGTCGATCGCCGAATCGACGGCGAATAGAGATCCCTTCCCAATCATCCTAACATGTCATGCTCAAAATGCATGATGGAGAAATCTTGGCTGATCTGATCAGCTGGCTTGGTGTCACAAACTGATTCTCCACCTACCTGTAGAAAATTCGGTAGTGTTGTGTATATATAGCCAGTTTGTTTGATGTGGACAGAGTACTAGAAATCAAATAAGCTTGTGTGACTTTTCCTGCATGCCTTTGATTATTCTTCTAAGATTTTGGGGTTCAGAAATTCAGGTAGAAAGTAGAAAAAAGAGTACAGTAGTTATTATTCAGAACATCCTGTGCAAAGCCCAAGCAAGCTGTACCCTTTTAGTGGCAAGATTGCAATGGCATGTAGGTTGGTTAGTAGGTAGTGCGTCTAGACAAAGACACATCAGTAGCAACAGCAGCAGCTGGAGGAGGAACATCCATCAATTTCCTACCAAAACAATCCACTCACAGCCTCACAGGCATTCAATGGATGCGTGGTGTCAATTATAGGATTTGAACCCCGTTGAACAGCCGACTTCTTTCTCATTTTCTCATGACCTCATAGTTATCCCGCTGAATCTTTATATGCTTATATCTTACAGAATATGGATTGTACTCCAAAATCGTTTTCACAACTTTTTACAAATTTATCGGACCGCCTACAACATTATTACCCTAGAAATTATTGGTTAAAGTTGCATTATGAAGACCGTTCAACTCCAAGAATTATTATTTTTGCGCATAAAAAGATATTTTATTTTAGGAAAAATAAGGCCCCATTTTTTAAGTTGAAATTGATGGAATTTTTCTATATCTATTTCAGGTATAAACAAATGAAGTGTAACTATAACAAAGTTGAAAAAACATATTTTCTAAAATATATAATTTTTTTTACAAAACATACCATTAGAACATTGGTAAGCATGCAAATAAAAATCCATAATCTAGAATGAGAAAAGTACATGGACAATAAAAATGAAGAAGTTGCATATGCCTGTGTTTAGTTCACGCTAAAATTAAAAGTTTGGTTGAAATTGGAATGATGTGTGATGGAAAAGTTGAAAGTTTGAAGAAAAGGTTTGAAAGTAAACTCGATCTATATCTATATCGATGCAGGTACTACCTTAAGGACGCAGTCCTGGACGGCGGCATCCCGTTCAACAAGGCGTACGGGATGACGGCGTTCGAGTACCACGGCACGGACGCCCGCTTCAACCGCGTCTTCAACGAGGGCATGAAGAACCACTCCGTCATCATCACCAAGAAGCTGCTCGACCTCTACACCGGCTTCGACGCCGCCTCCACCGTCGTCGACGTCGGCGGCGGCGTGGGCGCCACTGTGGCCGCCGTCGTCTCCCGCCACCCGCACATCCGGGGGATCAACTACGACCTCCCCCACGTCATCTCCGAGGCGCCGCCGTTCCCCGGGGTGGAGCACGTCGGCGGCGACATGTTCGCCTCCGTGCCCCGCGGCGGCGACGCCATCCTGATGAAGTGGATCCTCCACGACTGGAGCGACGAGCACTGCGCGCGGCTGCTCAAGAACTGCTACGACGCGCTGCCGGAGCACGGGAAGGTGGTGGTGGTGGAGTGCGTGCTGCCGGAGAGCTCCGACGCGACGGCGAGGGAGCAGGGGGTGTTCCACGTCGACATGATCATGCTCGCCCACAACCCCGGCGGCAAGGAGAGGTACGAGAGGGAGTTCAGGGAGCTCGCCCGCGCCGCCGGATTCACCGGCTTCAAGGCCACCTACATCTACGCCAACGCCTGGGCCATCGAGTTCACCAAGTAGGTGATTGGTGATCGATCGCCATTGTTGAGCTCGATCAAGGTGTTCGACCATCGTCTTCTTCTTCTCGTACTTCTTGTTCTTCATCCAAAAGCGTGGGTAATCATGTCGTTTGCTGCTGGCTGATGCTGCTGCTGCTTGTGTTGTACTTTTGATGTTCAATTCCGGTGATTCTGAGTTCTAATGGATGTAACCTGTCTGCTATTATATATATATATAATCGAATATATGATATATTTACTTACGACTTGTTAATGATTCACAAGGTTATATAATTTCTTCTCAATCAATCACAGCCTCTATCTATTTAATTCTACCTAATTTCTTAATGATTTTGTCCAAAACTAAATTTTCTTATATTCTGTGGCAGAGATAGTAGTGAATATCTAGAACAACAGATCGAAATCATAGCATCACATTATGAGTAAAACAACAGCTCCTTATATTATACTACATGATATTTTTTTTATGCAAAAGGTAGAGAGACTCTACCTTGTTACCGTTGTAGTGCTCCCTCCGTTTCAAAATGTTTGACACCGTTGACTTTTTAGTACGTGTTTGACCATTCGTTTTATTCAAAAAATTTAAGTAATTATTTATTCTTTTCATATCATTTGATTCATTGTTAAATATACTTTCATGTACACATATAATTTTACTTATTTCATAAATTTTTTTGAATAAGACGAACGGTCAAACATGTGCTAAAAAGTCAACTGTGTCAAACATTTTGAAACGGAGGGAGTATGTAGTAGTAGTAGTAGTAAAAATACTACATGATATGATGGTATGTTTTTGATATGTTGTTCTAGAGATTTAGAGTAATGTGTCTGCGTGTTCAGAGTTTCAGAGAGGAAACGGAATCTTTGTATCGCTGCTGCTACGTGTTGAATCGTGCACAATTCTAGGATAAATTTACTATCGACTTGTTAATAATTCACAAGGTTATATAGATTTCGATCTGTTGGGCATGAAGACAATTATTAACAATGCTCATGATCGAAATCAATATGTAACAGCAGCAGAAGCAACAACAGCAATGCATGGTTCCATTTTCTCTCTGAAACTCTGAACATGCAGACACATTACTGAATCTCTAGAACAATAGATCGAAATCATATCTTCTAGAACAACAGATCGGATTACTGAAATCATGTGTGTAAATGATATGGTTTCGATCTGTTGTTCTACATATTCAGTAATGTGTCTGTGTGTTCAGAGTTTCGGAGAGGAAACGGAATCTTTGTATCGCTGCTGCTACGTGTTGAATCGTGCACAATTCTAGGATAAATTTACTATCGACTTGTTAATAATTCACAAGGTTATATAGATTTCGATCTGTTGGGCATGAAGACAATTATTAACAATGCTCATGATCGAAATCAATATGTAACAGCAGCAGAAGCAACAACAGCAATGCATGGTTCCATTTTCTCTCTGAAACTCTGAACATGCAGACACATTACTGAATCTCTAGAACAATAGATCGAAATCATATCTTCTAGAACAACAGATCGGATTACTGAAATCATGTGTGTAAATGATATGGTTTCGATCTGTTGTTCTACATATTCAGCAATGTGTCTGTGTGTTCAGAGTTTCGGAGAGGAAACGGAATCTTTGTATCGCTGCTGCTACGTGTTGAATCGTGCACAATTCTAGGATAAATTTACTATCGACTTGTTAATAATTCACAAGGTTATATAGATTTCGATCTGTTGGGCATGAAGACAATTATTAACAATGCTCATGATCGAAATCAATATGTAACAGCAGCAGAAGCAACAACAGCAATGCATGGTTCCATTTTCTCTCTGAAACTCTGAACATGCAGACACATTACTGAATCTCTAGAACAATAGATCGAAATCATATCTTCTAGAACAACAGATCGGATTACTGAAATCATGTGTGTAAATGATATGGTTTCGATCTGTTGTTCTACATATTCAGCAATGTGTCTGTGTGTTCAGAGTTTCGGAGAGGAAACGGAATCTTTGTATCGCTGCTGCTACGTGTTGAATCGTGCACAATTCTAGGATAAATTTACTATCGACTTGTTAATAATTCACAAGGTTATATAGATTTCGATCTGTTGGGCATGAAGACAATTATTAACAATGCTCATGATCGAAATCAATATGTAACAGCAGCAGAAGCAACAACAGCAATGCATGGTTCCATTTTCTCTCTGAAACTCTGAACATGCAGACACATTACTGAATCTCTAGAACAATAGATCGAAATCATATCTTCTAGAACAACAGATCGGATTACTGAAATCATGTGTGTAAATGATATGGTTTCGATCTGTTGTTCTACATATTCAGTAATGTGTCTTTGTGTTCAGAGTTTCGGAGAGGAAATGGAATCTTGTATTGCTGCTGCTCTGTTGAATCCTGCACAGTGGGAAGAAAAAAAGGGCGGGAGAAATTAGGCCCATTTTAGTTTGGGCTCCCTGGTGAGGCCCAAGACGATACAATAGCCCATTGCTTCCACGGTGCAGCCCAAACGAAGAAATTCAGGCCTTCTCTCTCTCTCTCTCTCTCTCTTCCGTTTCATGGGCCATGGATGTACACGGCCTGATGCTGCATGCCTTCTCTCTGTGGTATTGACTGTGTGAGTTGGACTCGCAGCTTTTTCTCCCCCCCTTTCCCAGGGGTGAGCAGAAAAAGACCGAATCGAAAAACCGAACCGAACTAATCGAGACCGAATCTTTTGAGTCATAGACCGAACTCAACAAAAAAATAATCGCAGTACAAAATTGATGAAAAAGCAAATCGGATGGACTAAAATATGATGATGCAACAAGCATCAAGTAAAGCATATTCATGGGAAAAAAAATCAAATCAAGCATATCGATCCGGCCAGAAGGTCCAGATCCATCCATCTCTTCCTCGTCGCTGCTCCCGCAGGCCGCATCTCCCATCAGCCTCCTCCGTCATCGAGGATTCGAGGCCCTCAGGTCACTTGGGAGGACAGGGAGGTGAGCAGGAGAGGGAAGCTAGGTGAAGTGGTTTTGTGGTTGGAGAGGGCGCTGCGCCGTGGGGGAGAGGGCGGCGACACGGCGCGAGGAGGAGAAGGCAGCGGCGGCGGTGCGTGCGTGAGAAGCGGAGAGGCGCGGTGCGAGGAGCGGAGGAGGAGAAAGCGGAGACGCAAGCGCGAGCACGAGGAAGTGCGGATTGTGCAGCGCAGGTGGGGAGGAGGATCGGTGGAGTGGGAAGGAGAGGTGGGGACGGGGTAGGGAAAGTGAGGGTTTTCTCTAATGGGCTATTGGGTTGTCTTGGGCTTTTACAGTAATTCGGTCAGTTCGGTTATTTCGGTTAACCGAACGAGATGACCGAAAAGACCGCGTAAAATTCGGTTAGTTACAACTGAGGACCGAAATTTTCGGTCTCAGTTAGTTCGGTTCGATTTTTCGGTTTATTCTTTTTCTGCCCACCCCTGCAATGGCAATGCCAATGCAGCAACAACAAGCATCAATCAACCCAGACGAATGATGGTACAAAAGCATACCTAGGTTTTGCTTTTAGGGGGTCCTTACTCTGCCTTTTCTCCCCCATGCACACACCCCCGTACAGCACACCGGTTGTTCCTCTCATTTCGACCTCCCAACAGTGTTTTCTTTCTTTTTTTTTTCTCCTCCCTTGCAAGTTACTGTGCTATACTGCTATATGCTGCTTCACAGTTGTTTTGTATGGTTCACATTGTGTCATTGTGAAAAAATCAAATGCGCTCGCTCACCCCCTATGAACACCCCCAAAACGCTCCCGCACACGTGCTAACTCAGCGTTTCTACTATGGAACTGTCAACTACATCATTTGCTATTAAGCAAATAAATATTAAATTTTCAAAGTTAAATTAGAGTTGATTTTGATTTTTTTTTATCGTAGTTTGTTTTCAATATAGGCTTTTAGTCGCTAATAACTCATATATAGAAGTTTTCTGTAAAAATTATTACATTTTATCTCTAATAAGTGTTACGGCTTACTCATACCGTTTGGTATTTGACTGTGTTTGGTACTCATACCGTTCACGAATACTTATCCATTTTAGAGATAAGATATATTTTCAAGAAACACAGTACAAATGCTGACACTCACAATGCATGCACACCTACCCCTATGAACACATATACGCATACCATTTCTCTATGAGCATCTACTAAATATTGGTCCGACATATCTTGAAAATGACAAAATCACCACGGGCTTCCCGATATCGACCGGTATATTGTTTACCACTGTAAGAATAATTAGTTGTAAATACGAGTACATGTGCCACAAGAAAATTAACCATGTGAGTTGGTTCCACAAAAAAGAAAAAACTAGTTGAACCACGTCCAGCTAAATTTATTAGACAACATCAAAACGAGTAAATTTAAAAGTTTGATATTAGTAAAATACATCTGGTTATAATAAATCCAATGGTACAACTTTGATGCTAAATTATTATATTACTTTAAAATATATTGTTGGTCAAAGTTCGCTAACTCAAAGTCAAAACTGCCAATTGTTTTTTTTTAACAAAGTGAACAGTCAGACCGTGTTTGAATAGTACATGAATTATATGGGAATCTTGCAGGAATTCCAGAAAAAACATGTTCAGGAACCCACATCAATTGAGAATTTTTCTAGAATGGGTTGCGAGCCACAGTTTGACATAACATAGCTACAGAAATATTTTCACGACGGTTATTTATCATTATCTATAATGATTTATCCATGGCGCGTTATACTTCTCCGACATCTTGTCATACACACGGCCTCTTCGCGATTTTTCGCTCATAAATTGTAATGCCAAATTTGAACGACCTTAAAATTGGATGATGGTTGAGAATTAGCATGTGGTATTCATGGCCCCTAAACCCTGAAAGGCAGAGCATTTGGCAGATCCCCTAATCCATGGAACATACAAAAGGCCACACTTTGGTTTGATGGTTGGTAATCCCCAAGATTTGTTTATCGCGCAGACTTGCCACTGCCAACAACAATACTAGTAGCACTACTATACTAGCATTGCAGCCAAAATTAGCACTAATAATTGTGGTTTATTTAAGTCCTAATCTTCCTTGCTGCATTGGACCGGCAGCTAGGACAGGATGATTGCGATGCCCGGGTAAAGCTAGTCCGACAAAAATCGCAACGTGCCAATCACCGCATTAAACCTAATCCCCAACCATACTCTGTTATTCCTTCTGAACTTCTGGACATGAAAGCATGTTATTATGTTATTAGACAAGTTGTAA